AGAACAGTAAATAAAGAAGTAAAACAAACAATTATCTCTTCTAGTTCCAACCTCTGTACTTGGTTGCTGCTTTCTGTAGGTTTTTGAGCCTTATAAAATTTTGCATGTAGAGGATGTGAAACGAGATAATTCTTTTTAATTTTATATATACAATTGAATAACCAAAAATCATAAATTACTATATCAATACCACATAATGCCACTGTAATTTATCAAGCTTAGTAACTAAGCTGTATTTGTGTCTTAAAGAATATGAAATTTCGAGCAGACTAAAGACTCAAATTACCACCTTGAAATTTTGTATTGAAAAAATGAGATGATGTAGTAAAACTTGAAAATGGCTGAGAAAGCCTCTAGGGTAACATTCTGAGCTTTTGATTGTCTATTCACATGTCATAGACAGAAGTATATGTATATAAAGGAACTTTTCCAAAAATGGAAAAAGGTTAGTGGGGCCATTGTGTTTGATTCAGTACATGAACAATATCTCAGCACATAGAAAAGATAGGAGGTTCTTATTTTATATTCTAGCATGTCAATATGAGTAATTTGTATTCCTAATTCATATGAAACTATAGACTTTTGACATCACAAACATATAATATGAACCAGTACTGCATTCAACATGCCACATGCTACACAAAAATCAATGTTTAGTTGTTTTTTTTTAATATTTAATTTTAAATAAAGAAATTAAATAATGTATAATACTAAAATTTTAATTATAATCTACAGTTTGATTCCAAACTTATTGACATAAATTCATAATATAGTAGTTCAATAAAATTTTGAATGTGAGTCAACAAACATGATGACATGGCCTTTGACCTGTGTGGAAATGGTTAAAAAATCATACCACAATGAAATATTTTTAAGATTTGAATGCTACAAGTTCATACAAATATCACACATGAAAATAATTTTTAAGTTTCAAGCTACTTCATCAAGTAGGTTTTTTAAAATGAAACAGTTAACAGAAAAAGGCAAGAGTAGAAACACATTCATTCTAGTGAATGAAACCAAAATGAAATCTTGGAGTGAAAGATAAGGATAGTTAACTACTTAGCAAGGAAGTAGGTAGGAAAAAAGGGGTATCTACTGCCAAGTGCCATACCAAAACAAGAGGGGGAACAAATGTGAATGATTTGGATGAGTTAGGCATGTTGTTAAATGAAATTAGGTGGGCAATCAATAAGCAGAAGAGTACTAAGGTGGTAGGATCTGATGGAATTCCAGGGGAAGAAATAATGCGAAGTATGGATAAATGGTTAGTTTTAAAAGCAAGGTTTGTATGCTATTTTTCCAAGTGAAATCAAGGACTTTTCATGACAACAAATACATATATATAATTTCAAATTCGATAACGAGGAACCCACTTTGAGACTAATAATGGTTGGAGACGGCTTGAATGGGTAATGAAGAAAAACTTTAATATAAGTTTAGCATAACAGCAAACGTACAATGTTTCGACAAGGTTTTGTCAAGGTACCTGATGATGACAAAACCTTGTC